GTTTATGATTAGGGTTTAGGGTTTAGGGTTTAGGGTTTACCTCTTCGAAGTCTATAACACCGTTCTTTTTAATATCGCATTGTCTTAGAATGTCTTCAACTAAAAACCCTGAATATGAATGCCCTAAGACTTGTCGCAGATTGTCTACGCTGATTGCTCCGCTGTTGTCAACATCCAATCTGCATGCAACAAACCCTAAACCCTAAACCCTAAACCCTAAACCCTTATTGTTGTCAACAGCCAGCCTGCATTCAACAAACCCTAAACCCTAAACCCTAAACCCTAAACCCTTATTGTTATTAACAGCCAGTCTGCATTCAATAAGCCCTAAACCGTAAACCCTTATTGTTGTCAACAGCCAGTCTGCATTCAACAAACCCTAAACCCTAAACCCTAAACCCTAAGCCATTATCGCTTCGATGTTATCAGCATCCAGTTTGTATTCAGCAAACCCTAAACCCTAAACCCTAAACCCCTATTGCTTATATGGTGTCAAGATCCAGTCTGAATCCAACAAGCCCCAAACCCTAAACCCTAAACCCTAAACCCTAAACCCTAAACCCTATGTTTAGGGTTTGGATTACCTTTCAAAAGCTTCTCTAATAAGCGACTGGCTGAGTGCAACTTGCGTCTGAAATGTTGCTGCAAGAAACTCGCTGTAATTTATTTCCTGGTCCCCTGAACACAAACCCTAAACCCTAAACCCTAAACCCTAAACCCTAAACCCTAATGAACCCTAGGCCCTGCTGAAGATGCACAAAACCTTTTTCATGCCGCACAGCACTACCACTACAGCCTGCGCAATGAACTCACTACGGTTTAGGGTTTTAGGGTTTAGGGTTTTAGGGTTTAGGGTTTAGGGTTTACCTGTGAGATCGATACGATGAAATATCCGTCGGGCCTCTGCCTCTGATATATTCAAAGCCTTTTGTAAAACATTTACTAAACCCTCAACCTAAACAAAAGCAAAAAAATATAATTAATATTATTTTATATTTGTTCTTCATGTTTATATTGCTGTTTTTCTTTTGTTTCTGTTGCCGTTGTTTTCAACGTTCATTAGGGTTTAGGGTTTAGGGTTTAGGGTTTAGGGTTTAGGGTTTTGAATATTTTTTTTTATTGCTGGTTTTCTCTTCATCGATATTATTTTTATTATTTTTGTTGTTTATTATCTTTATTATTTTATATATTTATAAATTTAAACAAATACAATAAAAAGAATAAATAAATAAAAACAACAAATGCAATAAATAAATTAATTAATTAATTAAACAAACAAATAAAATATATTAAATAAACATCCTCTGATGAGTCCAATAAATAAACAAAGACAACATAAAGAATAAATAAATATACTAATTAATTAATTTAAAATAAATAATAAATAAATAAATCTATATAAATAAATAAATAAATAAATTAAATAAAATAAATTAATTAATTAATTAATTAAATTAAAATAAATTAAATAATAAATAAATAAATAAATAAATAAATAGATAGATAGATAGATAAATAAATAAATAAATAAATAAATAAATAAATAAATAAACAATAAATTAAATAAATAAATAAACTTTCGTACTCTGATAACCCCTGTCTTTTCTTCATCCAACGCACAAAACAATTTCTGCAGCTCATCCAAATCCTTCGTAGGCATCGATAAGGCAATTAACCCTAAACCACAAACCCTAAACCCTAAACCCTAAACCCTAAACCCTAAACCTAGAGCCTAACAAGCCCAAATGAACCCTAACAAACCCTAATAAACCCTAATAAATCCTAATAAACCCTAGTAAACCCTAGTAAACCCTAAAAAACCCTAGTAAACCCTAATAAACCCTAATAAACCCTAGTAAACCCTAAACCCTCACCGAGTGCTGCCCTTTGTATAGCAGTGCAGGCAGCAAACCGCCTCATGCTTTTGAATACTTGAATATTAATTTGTTTATTTTGCTGCTGCTCCTCGTCTGTAGCCAGCCACTGGTGTTTAAGTGCTTCTGCTGCTGTTAGACGGTCCTCAGGGCTTCGCCTGCAATGCACAAACAACGGTTTAGGGTCTAGGGTTTAGGGTTTAGGGTTTAGGGTTTGGGGGGATGAGGGGTGATACACCCTAACATGCATTTAAATAAACCCTAATCAATAATTTACACTAGGAAGCATTAAACCCTAAACCCTAAACAAACCCTAGCACCCTAAACCCTAAACAAACCCTAAACCCTAAACAAACCCTAACGAAGAGCAAACCCTAATAAAACGTAAACCCTAATAAAATCAAAAACCATAGTAAACACTAAACCCTAATAAATCTAGAACCTACTGAAGCCTAAACCCTGATAAACCCTACTAAATCGCAAACCCTAATAAACCGTAGTAAACCCTCATAAACCCTAAACCCTCATAAACCCTATGCCCTTATAAACCCTAAACCCTCATAAAGCCTAAACCCTCATAGACCCTAAACCCTCATAAAGCCTAAGCCCTTATAAACCCTAAACCCTTATAAACCCTAAACCCTTATAAACCGTAAACCATTATTAACCCTAAACCCTCATAAACCCTAAACCCTCCTAAACCCTAAACCCTCACTTGAGAAGGCTGCTGATAAAAGACTTTGCAAGAGGAGACACCCCTTTCCAGCTGTCTCCTTCAAACGAATAACAGCATCTTTTTATTTTTAAAATTATTTCGAGGTCTGTCTTCCCAGCAAAAGGAGGCGTCCCAGATAACAACATGTACACTATCACACCTGCATATACACCCCAAAACCCTAAACCCTTATAAACCCTTATAAACCCTTATTAACCCTTATAAACCCTTATAAACCCTTATTAACCCTTAAAAACCCTTGTTAACCCTTATAAACCCTAAAGCAGCATAAACCCGAGACTCTAAAGCAACATATACACTATCACACCTGCATATACACCCCAAAACCCTAAACCCTAAATCCTCGTATGTCCCTTAAGCCTCTCTAAACCCTCATAGACCCTCATAGACCCTCACAACCCCTCATAAACACTCCTAAACCCTCCTAAACCCTCCTAAACCCTCCCAAACCCTCCTAAACCCTAATAAACCCTAATAAACTCTAATAAACCCTAATAAACCCTAAAAACCCCTAATAAACCCTAATAAACCCTCACAAACCCTACTAAACCCTCCTAAACCCTAATAAACCCTAATAAACCCTCCGAAGCGTTACCAATGCTCCAGACGTCGCAGAGTTGATTATATCTCCCGTCTAAAACTTCAGGTGCGACATAATATACAGTGCCTTGCATTGCACTCATCGAAGCGTTTGGAGAGAAGAGACAGCTTAGACCAAAGTCTATCTGAACAAAAAAATATATATATATAATAAAATATATATATTATATATATATATATATAGATATATATATATA